GTGGGGTGGGAACTGGGTGGAGGGGAGCTATGGGGGGAAAAAAGAGGAACAACTGTAATAATCTGAACAATAAAGATTTAATTTTTTTAAAAAAAGAAAGCTAATATGGAGGGGCTATTACCCAAATAGTTTGCCTAGGGTTGTGCAAACTGGCTCATTCCGCGTCGAACAGCCTTTCGTGGCCCAGATGCCACTTAGGTCTCTTGTAAGACATTAATTCTTCCTGCCTCTGGGAGTGAGAAGGAACATTTCAAGAGTCCACCCCACCCACTGGCTTGGTGATTCATCTGAGTCGATGTAAAGTTATCATTATGGCTGAAGAGTTATTGCAGCAACGCACACGGCGCAGGGACAGTAGGAAAAAGACACGCGCAGGCCAAGGCTAGAGCAATCAGGAGCAGGCCTCCTGGGTCTCCTTGCGAGAGGGTCACCTGGGTGGGTTTTCTCCAGCTTGAGCAGTAGTCACAGAGCAAAATATCTCCACAGAGAGAGGCCCATCTGAGTGTTGGGATCCATTGTGGGGTTTTTAATCAGTTTTTATTTTTCAATTATAGTTGAAATATTGTATGAGTGTTAGGTGTACAACATAGTGGTTAGACATGTATAACTTACAAAGCGATCGCCCTCGGAGAGTCTAGTACCCACTTGGCCCCATACAGGGTTTTTGTTCTGCTGGTTCATTTGTTTTTTAGATTCAATTGTTGATAGCTATGTATTTATTGCCATTTTATTGTTCTTAAATGAGGCTGGTCACATAGCTACAGGACCAACCATGGTTTAGACTCCAAAGTAGATGCCAAGTACACCTCACACATCTCTCCTTCCATTAAACAGCGCTGACAGCGGGTGTGTCCTGCCACTGTGCCTCGGGCACCAGAGTAATGCCTTCCCCCGGGCTGTGGGAGCAGGCAGGGTCCTGCCCGCCGCCAAGAGCCCCGGGATAAGCAGGAACCCGCCGCACTCACACTTTGCTCTCGGCATGGAGCAAGGATGGCAGCATAAACAGCCCCGTTTCTAAAGCCAGACCTGGTGCTGTAGGCAGAAGTCAGGCTGAGAAGTCATGGTTGTAGCGCAGGTGCTTTGGGGAGACTAGGCGCCTTCTCCAAGGCAAAGCAGTGCTCACGGCACCAGCGTGGCCACGCTGACAGCCAGGTCTCCCTCTGCCGCCGCTCCCGGCGCAAGTGCTGGCTGAGCTGCGCCCACGCGCCCGGGCGTCACTGCTCACAGGTCCTAGTAACTTCCTTCCACGCGCTGTGTCACCCAGTGGCTGTACTGCCTCAGGCCTCCAGGCGACTGCTTTTCCATTGGTGTTTCTTCCTCCTTCTCCATGTTTTCCTCTAGAAGAGTTTCTGTTTCCTCGTTTGGGGAGTAACTGTCAGGAATAAAGTTCCTCTTTATGTCTGGCGCACAGGGAGAAATCGGCAAGGAAATGTACATCGTGAAGCAGGGGGAAGTCCGGGTTCTTGGAGGCGCTGATGGAGCTCAAGTTCTGGTCACTCTGAAAGCTGGGACAGTGTTTGGAGAAATCAGGTACCTGAAAGACACCTCCAACCGCAGTCTGCCACTTGTCATAAAAGAAAAATCTTAGGTCACAAAACTTGTAAGGTCCCCGCTTCGATTTATTACAGGTCTGACTTGCGAGAGCATTGGGAAAACAGGGACTTGCGTGTTCCCAGGTGTCCCCTGCCTCCCCCAGAGACTTGGCCCCAGCAGCTCTGCAGTCCCGAGGCCTGGGTCGTACTAGTCAGGTGGAGGCTGAGCAGGTGTTGGAAAAAGGAATGAGTGAGTAGCGAGAGGAAGTGAGAGCTCACTGTTGTCGGACTTATTTTTCTTATTATTTAAGCAAGCAAGCATTTACAGAAGCCAAAATAGCAGGGTAAACGTTTCAAACAGCAGTTTTATATAAGACTAGAGGCCCGCCG